TGTCCATCTTCGCCAGAACATTCCCGCTAAATACTGTGCTAGTTTGTCTCCATGCGCGTTTGGAGTTCAGGTCTTCCTTGCTATATAACCCTGGGGGAAATGCAATAAATGATTAGGAGTTATGGGTTCGTCGTCCAAGGGACTGTCAATATTTCGTGTTAGCGGCTTCGAATTCAAGATATTCGTCACTTCCGCCATCACTGTCAAAATAACTTAATCAGTTACAATCTGCTCTTTCAAAATAGCCTTCAGTATTTGTCGAACAGATCTGACCATTCTCTCCTTAACGCCATTCATGTGACTGCCCGAGGGTGCATTGAAAATCCTTTCAATCTTTCGTTGGACGCAAAACTCATTAATCTTGTGTTGATTCCAATCCTCCATCGCTTGATTTAGCTCCTTATTTCCACAAACGAAGTTTGTACCACGATCACTTCTTAGCAGTTCTGGGCATCCACGAATGCAAATAAACCTGCGGAGTGTGTTTATCATGGAATCCGTATCCAAGGAGTGTGTTATCTCATTGTGAACTGCACGCGTTGTTAAAATGTGAAGATGCATCCGTAGCGCTTGCAACGTTACCTTTTCACTTTCAAGTGCAGGGGTCCAAAATAATCTGTACCAACATATATGAACGCTGCTTGCATTGTCTGGAGTTATTCGATCCTGCGGTAAGCTAGCCATATACTGATCTGATAATTTAGCTTTTCTTCGTTGACAGTCTATACAATACTTTATCACGCGTCGAACAGCAGATCTTCCTTTGATGATCCAAAATTCCTGTCGCAGAGAAGAGAGAACCGATTCTTGACCCATATGACGGATAACGATTTTATGATAGTAACGAATGATCATGTCGGTTATGTGGTTTTGGGAGGCAGGACAAAAGGGTGTTTCGCATGATTATCTATTTGGGCATAATCCAATCTCCCTCCAACGCATAATAAACCTTCTTTCAGAACTGGACTACTTGATGAATTAACGTTCCCGCCTTTCGAAGCATCTTCTTCGTTGTGGTTACTGGACGATTGGAACTAGACAATAACTGGAATACAGCTGGAAACGCAGTGAGCTGAACACATTTGAGAATTTCTCTTTCCGCTACATCCAATTCGCTCAAAGTTAAATATATGAAGTATCCTCTTTGATGTTCATATGACGTTGTGTTACTTCTTTCTTGAACCTTGCATCGAAGGTACTGCATGCTTATTTCGTAACCACCAACCCACTGCTCGCTTTAATTTCCACCAATTTGAATAGAACGAGATTAAATCGTCCAAACCGTTGCCTTGTACAGAAACTGCATATATCTGGGTTTCCTTTCTGACTTCTGGATCTTCATTCTTTAAAATTGGTATTTCTTGCAGTCGAGCCCATTCACTCTCGCTTTCTTTCAGAAACTTGGGACTCGTTAACCAACGATATCGTTCTGAACCATGACGCTTACCTTCATCCCTTTGGAACCGTCATCAACAGGGTTGTCTTCACGATTGATATAGTTCCATGCTAATGGATCGATCTCACTATCGATGACAGTCAAACGGTTTGATTCAAATGTATAAAATCGTTTTGTTTGATTAGTGATGCATTTCAAGATCGACATAGAGTCCATCCAGTAATATGTTCTCTGTATTGACATATGTAATTCTTCACGAATTATAGCAGATCGATAATCTTACTGAGAGAGATGCAGCAGTTAACTCAAGTCTTGGGATGCTTATTTCACGCAACGGTACCAGCCTCGACTTGCCCATAACAAACGCGATGTGTATGTTGCCACTTGTTTCTACAAGACGGAGATATGCCACCGCTGCATACCCTACTCGAAAAGCATCCGAAAATAAATGTAGTTGCACCACCATGATTTCACCGAAATTCAGTGGCTTGAAACAGCGACTAATCTTGACTTCTTGCAATTTGTGTATGTCTTCTAACCAATTGCAACGAATCCTTTGTGCTTGCTCGTTCTTCGGTAGTGGGTCGTCCCAACCAACTTGTTTTCTGCTAAGGGCTTGTAGCTGGCGTTTGGCTTTCATAACAAAGGGTGCGATAAGTCCTAATGGGTCGAAGAAATAGGAAACCAAAGATACCATGCCTCTGCGCGTTATTGACGTTTCTCTGGTCAACTGCAACATCTTATCCGTAACCGTCCACACAAATGCATCTTCCTCGGAATTCCATCTCAAGCCGGGGGTATTTTGAGTTGGTAACCGATCTCCTTGAAAATGGCCACAGATTTAGCTCGTTGGGATTTAGGAACTGACGCCAACACCTTTTCATCATTACTGAACCATTTTGTTAGACGAAATTCCCCTCTTGTAGTAATTTTCTCAGCTGGTGAATTAACCTGATGGCTTTCTCTGTGGTTTCGGTCGATTTGAGCAGGTCGTCAACATACATGTTTCGTTTCACTGTCTCTATTGTGACATCATCAAACTCTACCATTTAACTCTGCTGTTTTCCGTAAACAGAAATTGGCGACGCTGGGTGATGACGTGGCTCCGAAGGAATGTTTAGCCATTCGGTATTCTTCCAACTCTTTGGACAGGACTGCGTTTGGTCACGAAAGGAACCTCAATACGTCTCAATCTTTCGGTTCCACCAACATTTGATGAAACATGGCTTCAATGTTAGTAACTAATCCAACTTTCTCTTGTCTGAAACGAATTAATACTCCAACTAATTAATTTCTTTGATAAGGATCAGACATCAATTGCCGATTTAACGATGTTCTTTTATACGTAGCCCCACAATCATACACTACTCTAACTTTTTCTGGCTTGAGAGGGTGCACGACAGGAAGATGGGGTACATACCAAACAGGTTTATCATCAGGTTCTAATTCCTCCTTCGCTATCTTCTCAGCGTGACCGTCGTCAATATAGTTATTCATTGTTTCTTGGTATTTAATATGCAGATTCTCGCTTTTCATCAATCTTTTCTTTCAGAGAAAGGCTCTTCGTAATGCGATTATCTTATTATTCGGCAAATAAGGAGGGTTGTATCTCCAAGGTAGGGCAACTTGGTAATGTCCGTCGACCATTGTCAAGGTTGATCCCATTATCTTCAACGCCTTTCTGTCTTCCATCGAATCACATGATTTGCTGTCAAGGAGCGAACCGTCAAAGTCCGTTTTCCATAAGCTTTCAAGCTGCCGATTGAGATCATCATTCTGACGTTGGCATTCGATTTCAGTCTCCCATGAACAGGAAGATTGTATATTTCTCATTTCCTGCCACATAATCGGATCACTACTGCTTTCGCTTGATCCATACGATTAAAACATTCAACGCATTTCGCTGAAAAAGATTTCTCAGTTTGTTTGGTGATACATGAATTGTCCAATGTACGTACGAAATTAGTTGAACAAACTTCATCGTCCTTTTGTCCACCAACAGGCCTACCACCGCCGTCCATCCTAAGCTACATCTGACTCGTTTGATGCGTTCACTTCGATGCAATTTCATATGGCTAATCGATTTAAATGAATATAACTGGAACGCTACATTCAACCGGAAATTTGAAGCCAAACTTGAAGGCCACTCCCAGTCTTTTCACGCATGGGAAGAGCGCTCAATTAGTCAATGATGATATAAACACGTGTGATCTTATGTCCAGACACGCGTGTCTGGAGATAAAATTTGTTTCAAGAAAAAGATAGGTAACTTCCCAGCTATATTCATTTCAATTTTCAATAGGTTAACCACTGACACTTTTGGCGCCACCAAAACCATAGTTAATGAGCTTAAGAATAAATCCGAGATGGCTTCATTGCTTTCAGACAAAATATTCCAATAGTTAAGCTTGAGAAATCTGCAATATGATTTAATACATAATATGTTCTTTCGAATGTCACACACCATATTGAAGCAAGAAGCCTAATTTTGAGCATATTTGTGCATTATTTGGACAAAGAACGACTATTGCTAAGTGAATAAAATGCCGCTTTTACTACCAAAATCGGAAAGCGTCTAAATCATCAATCAGTTTAGTTAGGCTATGAACACTGCTTACCAATTGAAGGATATTGGAACTTAAGATTTAACGCACAAAATAGGATGTCACGTGTGTTTTACTTAATTGACAGAATAATAAGTTTATACATGTAACACAACGTTATTAGCTCTTTGCTAACTTATTCTTTATAAAATACTATATACATACGTGTTACCAAGTCCTACTTGGTAGCGAATTGACACACGAAATATATCTGACTCCTATAGGCTCCCTCTCACCACCAATTCTGTATTCTATTGGTAAGAATAGGGAGGGTTCTCCTGAAGGCCAATCACCAACATGACATCATCATCTTTCAGCTTGTGTAAATCGATATCGTTTAAATGACGCCAGGACCTAACGTCTTCTTTCTTTACAATACAGCTTCCTGAAATCGGAATTTCAGTTATAGTTCGAACGTTTGACAAATTCACTGATGCTCCATTGCCTATGGAAGTAACTGTAATATCAATCAATTGGCTTTTCATTCTCGTTGATCCAGTCATACCTGATAGCGTAAAATCTAACTCTGTCCCCCCACACCAAGTTTCTTTCTCAATCGTTCATGAAAAAGTGTTACCTCTGATCCGCTGTCCAACAGAGCATAAGTTTTGATTACTGGTCCAGCTCCTCCCTTCGCTTTAACTTTTACAGGAACTACACTTACACAGACTCTCTCGCCGACCTCAATTGCGGAACCAACTTGAGCTCTCTCTAGTTGGTTTGGTGCCTCTTCCAAATCAAAGTTCGTATTCGCACTTCTTGATACTAGGTTCTTTGTTCCAGTTCTGACTTGACTTGAAGGACTTAATTCATTGGGGTGCAATAACGTATTATGTTTCCTTATTACATCCCTGTACTTGACATTTAAACTGAGTTTTAGGACACTGTTTTGCGAGATGCCATTACACAAACACTTGAAACAAAGAACTCTTGCTTGCACCATTCTCTTTTTATCCTGATAAGGTAGGCTTCGAAACTTATCACATCTCCAAATTGTGTGTTCACTGGAACACATAGAACATTTCGTCTGAGTTGGTAGGGTATCGTTCTGCTCCCTTTTCTTGTTGATATCTCTTGCTGCGAATGATGATTAGTTCGTTGACCAAATATAATCCTCCTTGAGAATCTCTGTTCTTCGGTTTTCCGCCTTTGTCTGACGAAAAAGTTGCCAGATCTTCACGAAGTTCATTGTTCACACGCGTAGCTCGTTGTTTAACAAATTGAAGAAAATGAAGAAACTTTGGTCTCGATCCACGTTCAAATTATCTATCCCGCTCTATCCGTCGTCCATTTAATTCTCACGAATCCAGGTAACTTTCGATTTAGCAATTTCAACGTATTAACATGATCTACAGTAGTTCCTCAGTGCACTCAGATCCCATTCCTGCTAAAGTTCTGTTAGCAACTTCAAGATGTCTTGCAAACTCCAGTAGGCTTTGACCGTTCACTTGTTTCAAAGGAGCTAAGTTTTCCAACTTCTTTATGTGAGCTTGGGCTATGATATGAAATTTCCCGAAGTTTTCACGTAAGGTTTCCCTCGCAACTTGATAACCATGTTCCTCGGGAAGATAAACACAGCTCTCCACTGCCTTACGAGCCTTGCCAGTACAGTGTTGAATCAGATATGGAAAGAATTACCGCATTGGTGCTGTATAAATAGTCTGCTAGTGAATCCAAAGAAAACGAAACTTCTATTACTGGGTACAAGTCAAATGCTGAAAAAACTCTCTGGCACAGATTTCCATATAAGTGTTCTTGGTGAGAAAATAATCCCACTTCAGACGGTTAAAGATTTGGGAATGACTTTGGATTCAAGTTTGACTTACGACAAACATATTGTCGATAACGTCTCAAAATGTATCACTGAATTATGCCAAATCAACAGAGTTAAGCATATTTTCGACAAACACACTTTATCCCTTATTATAAATGCACTGGTCTTCAGTAAAATGTATTATTGTTCCTCCGTTTGGTCGAACACCTCTAAAAGGAATATATCAAAACTGCAAAGCGTGCAGAACTTCGCGGCACGCGTTATTACTGGAATCAGAAAATATGACCATGTGACGCCTATCCTTCAGCAATTAGCTTGGCTTCCAGTTGAGTGTATGTTAAAACTCAGGGATGCGGTTATGACATATAAGTGCTTGAAAGGGTTAGCTCCGCCGTACTTGTGTGACAAATTCCAAATGAGATCAAAGATTCACAGTGTTAACACCAGAAATAAGGATAAGTTAGACATTCCACTGTATAATTCGGCTTCTGGACAGCGAACGTTTCATTATCGCGCAGTGTCTATTTGGAATGAGCTCCCAAATCATATTAAAGACATTGACACTTTGGACCGGTTTAAAATAGAATATAAACGTCATTTATTGCATGGATTTTTAGAAAGTAGTTAATAGTTTTAGACAATTTGGACTTGTTTAAATTAGCATATAAACGTTTTTACTGTATGGATTTTATTAGGAAGTAGTTAATCATTTTTAAAGTGACATTACTAATAATTATAAAATTTTTAATTTGTGTTTGTATGTATGTACGTATGTTTGTGGGTGTATATATATATTGTTTGTAGTATATAAATGATTTGTAATTACCTGCTGAAAAGCCCTTTTGGGAGCAGGCAATATTGTAATAATAATAATAATAATAATAATAATAATCAGAAGTTGTAGCCGTCTTGAATTATTAGGATTGTCTCTCCAAACATGTCTCGAAATTATGCATAAAGGAAATATAGTTCACTGGGTCCCCATCAAAATGCATATATTTAATTCTTGGCGTCGAAACTACTTGACGCAATTCTCGTATTACTGCTTCTCCTGTGTCCACCATCCTTGGCAAAGGACTCCACATCACGATGAATATATCGCTGCGGCGGTTGAGATGGTTGGGGCCAAGGGGTCGTTGACCGGACCGGCTATATGCTCTCCTCAAGTCACAACTATATAACATGGAGACAACATTTATGTGGAGAGTTTGAAGAATTGGAGTTTCCTACAGGTCTTTACATTAATAAAAATATATATGACAAAAACGGAAAATGTTAGATTACGGTAGCCATTCCTTGAAAAACTTCCAAAAATGCCCGTTAAGGTGGTTCGAAATATTTGAATCCTCACAAAATCCTTTATACAAGAATCACTTAAAAAATCTTTATGCTATATTAAT